TATTGCAAACCAGACTCACTCTCTGTACCACATTTAAGCGAACTACCTAAAATAACTAATCAACTTCTATTAGTGCAGTTCTTCCTTCGAAAGTTTCCTTTGAAAATGGGAACCAGCATCAGCAATACAATTGCTTGGTCTAAAATTAGGTTACCAGCTGCAGAGCAAAACCAGCAACCAGCCTGAGCTCTCCACATTATTGACTCTCTCTCCATTCCTATTTAACATCTGCATAGATCAGCAGCTGACACTGTTTATAGACTGGAAATAAACCATTATCCAGTATGATTTGGCTGCCATGGGCCCCCTGCCTAATTAGTCACCTTGTCAAGAAATCATATGATCCATTAGCAATTTGAAAGCAAAACCAGTTCCTATAGAAGCATGGTGTCAGGACAATTAACTAAAAAGGCATGAAAGTTCAAAATGGTTTTACTGTGTTTGAAAATCCAAATTCTGCTTTAAAAACAACCTAATTGAGTTATCTCTTGGGAATCTGTCTTCCCTTGATCCTTTATCTAGAGCCCAATCATGCCTAATACATTTTTGCAGAAGTAACTGGTAGGAACAGCTGCTTGAACATGTCATGCGAGCTCTATTCCTGTTTCAAATGTTCTGCAGATGTTGGGCGGGGTTAACAGGACATGCATACTTGCACGACATCTTTCTTGGGCTGCTTCAGTTCAGATGAATATGAGTATGAATGTGGCCCTGTAGTCCTGTCCCAGGCTAACTAGAAGCTTCCTTCATCTTATCCATTGAAATCAGAGACCCTTGTTTGATACTTAGGATCCAATTTACATTCTTACATATTGGACATTGATTACCTACAGGTTCAGGAGTTCTTTTTTTTTTTTTTATCTGCGCTAAAAGTTGGCAAAAAATATGTATGAAATATAAAGACTCCAAAGCAAAGTAAGAAAATAGGCCTGGTGCATTGCACTAAGAATGGATTCCCCAATAAAGTGCTCGTGGACTTCTCTCTGCTGGGTCTATGCCCCACCTCACTTTCTTTTTATGACTGGCCATGTTTTTTTCAATGGACAACCCCTCTCCCTGTGATAGCAAAAGCACCCACAACAATCTCCCAAAATCCCAAATGTAGCCACTGTTGGAAAAGGTTGGGGATCCCTCCATTAATGGCTCATCCATACATCTGGCTTGCTGCAGGGTGAAGACAACCCTACCAACCATTTGACAAGGACAAACACCAGGCCTTTGGCAACTGGGGAAGCCCTCAGAGGTTCCCATGTGGCACTTCTCCTTCCTCATAATTCACCAGCGGTTACTTTCACTGTGACAATTCTGTTCTCCTGGGGGCTGGAAATCACAGAATAGATTTTCTTAAAGAAGTTGATGTTCTTAGAACTTTAAAAAACCCATGATATTTCCAGCTCCCAGAGGAAAAGAAGGGACTATTCCAGCAGCACAGCCTTCCAGTTCAGGGCTGGTCTGAGACGGGGGACCGTCCACACAAAGAGCTGCTTTTTCCCATGGAAGAGAAGATGCTCAGTGCAATAGGTCACCTACTCCCCATGTGACTCACAGGTCCCATCAGTTCAGAGGCTGTAAGCCTCCCTTTCCAGCAAAACTGAAGTCAACAATTTATCTACAATGAAAGTCTAGTTGCAAAGTAAGGCAAAATTAAATAAATAATAAAAATGATGGCTTGAACAGCCAAGCCAACCCCACGCTCATTTGGGGAGTGATTGGTCATTGGTTTTCCCACAGGTAGATGACAAGGATGGGAGGGAAGCCACAAATGATTGCCCTGAACCTACTCCACATTGTATGGTGTAGGGACAGCAGTATGTCCATCCTCATTGCTGAGGTCCAGAAAAAGGTAGGCTGTGGATTCAGTGCTATTTATATCAACACATGTTCTTCCTGCCTCATCTCAAGAATAGGAGGAAAGTGTCACCCACCCATTGTTGTGGCAACATAAATTGTTAACAATTGGCTAGGTTCATACAACATGCTAAGCTTTAATTCATAGCTTCCACATCATAAAGGTAGAATTTAACATGTTGACATAAATTGTTAAGCTAGATCTAAACAAGCTACATTGTGGCTTAGCACCATTATTACCCCACACAACACGTCTATTTAGAATTAAACCATATTTTATTTTAAAAGATGCATTTCTTCAAACCCCTGGCTACATCTGCACTTTGACAGGCATGCTGGTGGCCTTACTACAAAATGGGTACAAAGCCAGGACAAAAAGTATTTTTAATTTAATTTCATTTAAATTCAACTAAATATAATCCCCATGATTACTCCCTGTGTTTAATATACTTTTCCTTCAGCCACATGAAAAATTACAGCTCGGTAGCAAACTTCTGGATGGCTCAGCCTCTGGGAAATCATAAACAGGGTCTAAGAGATCACGAGCCATGCTGCCCTTTGGCTGGCTTATATGCTTATCTGATATGGTGTCTTTTAGAGTATCAGTCTCACAAGGTGGCTGATGTTGTAAAACTGTAAGATAACAAGAAGATAAGAAGAGACCAAACAGCACAATAGAGAGCAGCAAAAAAACAATAAAGCAATTCCCAGTCAAAGGAAGGCAGAGTTGATTGAATCTGGATCTTAATAGTTAATAGAAGAGGCACCAGGCAAATGGATTGGGGGATAATATTACAAAATCCATACTCATGCTTTTGCGTCATTGATGGAACAAAGCCATAGTGTCCTTGTGGTTCACACATCATGCTAAACTAAAAGCAGACAGTGCATGATGGCACAGCAGGATGCATGAACCAGGCCACTGAGCAAGCATTATTTGAAGTTCCCTCAAACTGTAGGGAGATGCAGACTGCAAGCTGAATGAACTTATACACGGTTTTTGCAGGCATTGGGTTATACCTAAGATTTTGGTACAAAGGAACAACAGCTGACTCCATGTTTTGTTTTGTTTTTAAAGTAATAATCTAAGGACTTTTCACTTATCTGTTAGGTAGCAAGCCAGAGACTACACTCCAAAAACTAGGAGGAGCCAGGACATAAAAGTGGTTGTGATTAGGACAAAAACTAAATGTTATTACATTTTAATTTAAATTAAATGAATTGAATAGTTAACTTGCTTATTGCTGTTGGATTTAATAATTCCCCGTCTATCATAATTTTAAATAGGTGGCATCTTTAGGAGCCCCCTGAAACCTCAGGCTGGGCATCTCTGCTCTAGCCTTAAACAAAACCACAGGTTCTCCTTGGTTAGGCAGAAAAGGCTAAAGTATAGAAAACTGCTCCTTATATTATCCAAATCGTATGCCACTCCCCAAGTTTTCCTTTGCAGTAGAAGGAAGTTGTTCAGGTCCTTGTAAAATCTCGTTTCAGCCAAGGCAATTGTGCAATGAAAGCTTCACTCAGCAGTGGTGTAAAGACCGAAGCTGTGTCTGGGGCAACATTCAGTCTGATGAAGAAAGGTCTAATTGGGAACTTTTTTTTTTCTTTTGTGACATGTTGGTTAGTCCTAATAAAAGGGGCCTAAGTGCACAAAAACACCTTCAACAGGTAATGGACCACTGAATTTAGGAACCCTCCAATATGGTTGGACTAGAACTCAAAAGATCTGGGATCTAATCCTCTATTCCAGTGTTTCTCAACCTTGGCAACTTTAAGATGTGTGGACTTCAACTCCCAGAATTCCCCAGCCAGCTGCTCTTTTCAGCTGGGCAACAGACAGGATGACCTTGGGAAGCCATTGTCTCACAGCCCAGTTTTATAAGATTGTTGTGAAACTGCAGTCCCATTCATGTTTACCTAGGAATGTATTACTGTATGCTAAATTCAACTGGTATCATGTCTGAACTGATCTGCTTAGAACTGTACTTTGACAAGGATGTGTAAATTCAGGAATCCAACTGAGTTCAACAGTGCTTATTCCTAGGGAAAATACATAGTCTGAAGCTTAACATAGAAGAAATGTTATGCATTTATTGCAGGAAGATAAGAGCATATATTTATAGGAGGAGGAGTCTTGGGGGAGGGGGTTGTCAAGAAGGGCAATGGTCAGAGCAATAAGATGGAGCAGATGGAGCTTCATTACCTATGTGGGG